ACAACATGTACACTAAAATTAACAGTATTTCTCGGCCATTAAAATAGTTATTTTTATAATTTTGTGTGCATTATGAGTTTATTTTCAATGAGTGTTATTTTTTCAACATAAAAGTACACATATATAATGAAATATTTTCCATTTTAATTCCCCGGCAGAAACGTGTATACTCGTTTTCACAAAATGTTCTTTTTCAGTCGTCGACGAGTATACTAAGAAAATATGGAAAAAAAAATATGGTTTATAGGAAGATGAGTTACAAACTGTTTTCATAATCAGCATCAAAAATACTATATAGAACCAAAATAAAAAAATTAGCCTGAAAAAGAAACGTTTTTAACAAAAAAATTGTTGGGGAAGGGGTTAAAAAAGAAAATGTTTTTTCTCACTATTGCAAATCAACAGGTACTTAGTGGTCAGACAAGTAGTTAATAAGCACTGACTACAACCAGAACTCTCTCTCTCTCTCCCATTAGGACATAACTGGGTATATTTATGTCTTTTATATTAAGGTAGGTCAGATAGGAAAGGTGGCTTGGAATTGTTACAGAATTTACCAGGCGACCGAAAAATACGCAGGAGTACCAGAGGCACAGGAAAAACCCATTTATTTCCAAACGTTTCACATGTGATTCAGGGGAGACTGTTTCTCTCCAAATCCTGAGCAAGCCAATATGGAGGAAGCTTTCCCTTTATACTCTTTTGTTTCTTTGTCCCCCAAATATGAGATGGGACTTCTGGGCCTTTCATGGGCTTTGCAAAAAGCCCTGTGTATTGGGGTGGAGGCCATGAGACCACATCTAAAGGCCTGGCTTGGAGTCGGGGGGTTGTGTATTGTTCATGGCTTATGGCCTTTCTAAAATGGGAATAGTACTTAGGTAAACAGGTCTTGCAGGACCAGATAATTAAGGAAGGGGCAGTGACTAGAACCAGGGGTGAGCAAACTTTTTGACTCGAGGGCCACAATGGGTTCTTAAACTGGACCGGAGGGCCGGAACAAAAGCATGGATGGAGTGTTTGTGTGAACTAATATAAATTCAAAGTAAACATCATTACATAAAAGGGGACGGTCTTTTTTTTTTTAGTTTTATTCATTTCAAACGGGCCATAGTTTGCCCAAGGCTGGACTAGACTATAGGCTAACAGGAATGTTCATTAGGTTCCTGGCATGGATTCAGCCCCCCAAAATGTTTCATTTTCCCCATCAGAAAGAGCAGTTGTATTGGTCCTGGTGGTTTGGACAGAAGCTGGGCTTTTGATAGATTTGCAGAGACCAAAAAAAGTATTTTATTCTGGTGAGCAAATAAGTAGGCAAAACTTCATGAAAATAGCAGGTTGGAACTGGGACAAATTATTATTATTTTTTCCTTGTGATAATTTAAATGATATAGTTTCTACATCTTTTTTTCACTTTATGATATATTTTAGAAATTTACTCATATTAGTAAAGATAGTATTTCCCCTCTTTATTTTAGTGACAGTGGAGTATTGTTCTATACATATATCCCATGGTTTACATTACTAGTTCCTGACAGATGACTTTAGAGTTGTTTCAACAATTTGCGGTTTCGATAACACTGCAACTAACATCCTGGAACATCCTAGTACATATGTCATCTTTCTCTAGAACAAATATATCCATAAGATAGATTCCTGTATGTGGACTTCCTGGATCAGAGCTTTAGGTGCATTTAAATTGTTGATATGTAATTGTACAATTTGCACTATCTCTAGGAAATATGAAAGATTCCCCAAACCCTTGTCAACCCATTGTCCTAGCAAATGTTTTATTATTTGCTAATATTAGAAGTGAAACAGGTAACTCATAGTTTTAACTTGCACATCTCCTTATTATCAGTAAGTGTAAAGAAGCATCTTTATTTTTGTGTACTATATTTTCCCAGTTTTTTAATATGGTCATTGCTCTTTTCTCACTGATATTGTAAAGGGTTCCTTATAGCATAAGGAAATTATTTCTTTGTCTGATATAAATGGCAAATATATTCTTCACTTGCCATTTAGCTTTTGTGTGTGTGTCTGTGTGTATGTGTGTGTGGGCGCGCGCACGCGCGCGCACGTGTATGATAGCAGCTATCACTTCTTTTTTAATTAGAAGTTTTTCATATGTTTTAATATGTTTTTATTTTAGAGAGAGAGGAAGGGAGAGGATAAAGAAATAGAAACATTGATGAGAGAGACATTGATCAGCTGCCTCCTTGCACGTGCCCTGACCAGGAATCAAACTAGGGACCTCTTGGCTCATAGGTTGATGTTCAAACACTGAGCCACACCAGCTAGGCTATCTATCTATATCAATACTGCATCTATATCTATATCTATCTAATTTTTAATCCTCACCCAATAATATGTTTATTGATTTTAGAGAGCGAAAAAGTTAGAGAGAGAGAGAGAGCAAGAGAGAGAAACATTGATGTGAGAGAGAAACATTAATCGGCTGCCTCCTTTATGCCACCAGGGATTAAACACACAACATTTGGTGGATGGATAGATGTTCCAACCAACTGAGTCACCCAACCAGGACTTACATATTTTTAAAAAGAATTTCATTATTTTATATAAGTGAATTTATTAAATCTTTTCTTTTATGTCTTTTTTCTTATCACACTTAAAAGTGACCTCTTTATACAAAACTCTTGTTAAAAGCTTAAGTAGTTTAAGTTTTTAGTTCAATTTTTCATATTTCACTTTGATCCATCTGAAATTTATGTAAAAATAAGAAAATTTCCAACTTTATATTTTTCAAATGGCTACCTATAATCCAAATAATATTTACTGAATATTTCATAATTCTTCACTAGTGCTAAATACAAAATCGATTGTGTACTAAATTTTCAGGTGAATTTGAGTCCTCTTACAATTTTCAAGTCTTTGATTGCTGTTTAAATATTTGGATGTCAGTACCATTGTGCTAATTTTTTGAAATGTTTTATCATATGATTACTGTTGAGTCCCTCATCTTTGTTTGAAAATTGCATTGTAAATTCTTGCTTTTAGTATATATATAGTTTAAAATAGTATTTCTACTTCCAAAAACTATTTTTGCCATATTTATTTGAATCATATCAAATGTATGAGGGAAGCAGCTGATTAATGATGCTCTCTCATCATTGATGTTTCTCTCTCTCTCCCTCTCCCTTTTTCTCTGAAATAAAAAAATATATTTAATAAAAATAAATAAAATATCCAGTTTTTGATGATATTGTAAATTTGTTCTGTCTTTCATTACATTTTCTAACTTGTTTCCCATTTTTTCAAATTATTTCAATCAACATACAATTTGTTTTCTGTATTACAGTTTCTAAGAATTTTTAGAAATTATGGTTTACTTTAAAAATTTCCATTGAATTTATTCCATTGAATAAAGAAAACATGACATATATATTTTAAAAGTGAGGCACAACACTAAACTATTAAAACAGAAGAAGCTTCATTTTATAATTTACTAACAGTAATTCTAAAGCCTATTTCATTTTTGGCTCAGTACACCAATTGTCTTAGCAGTACCTTGTTAGTCCCATAATGAACACACTGCCACTTTCATCAAGGGACTTTGGCGACAATAAGCTTTCATTGCATTAGTTCTTTCAATCTCTTGCTTTGTTTTAGTTGATATATGTTAATTTATTTCTCAGATTTCTTTCTAAATCCTTCAGTAAGCAGTTCTTCTTGGAATTACAAAAAAGAGAGTTCACTCTTTAAAATCTCCAATTATCCCAAGAGTTGGTTGGGATTTTGTATTTATCAGCAGCTAAGCATGTGTGCCTACTTCTCTACTACCTTAGAGTACATTTTCACAAGGTCATCCAATATTTCCATATGTGTGAAATTGGATACTGGGAATATCCCTGATTTGAACATTATTAAGATCCCTTCATCATCTCCTCACTGGGACTGGGGCTGGGTTGATAGACAAGGCCTGTAAAATATCCCTGTAAAGTGTCAGTGAAATGATGCTCTTTGAGAGGTAATATAAGTATGATGCTAATTAATTCTCAATCCCAAAAGAGGTTGCAATCCCAAAACAAATGAAATATAATGGAATGCTGGTCCTGAAGGGAAAATGAATTATCAAGCTCCATGTTGATCAAAGAAAGAGTTTCTTTGAGTGCCTTTTAGGTTGATACAGACAGATCTAGAAACAAACACAACTTTTGGGCTTTCCGCAATGTGTATTTCATATTAGGGCAAATCTGATACATTCAAGAGACAATGGATCTATTTCATATTTTTTTGATCATTGTAGCTAAAGTCCTATTAAATGGTTATACAAAGATCAAGAAGACTAAACGCCTACACAGTTGGTGCACAAGAAGACCATCCTAACACTACCACTTCTTCTTTTTCCCAAACCATGCTTTTGCTATGTTTCAGTGAGTCAGAGTTACTCCATAAAATCCCATTTTAAGGAACAACTGGACTCAAGAGTCCCCAAGACCAGCCCTCCAGTTCAATGATTTCCAAAATTACACTCAGAACTCTTAAAAAGTTTCATTCATAGAGGAACAACAGTTCATTACAGTGAAAGGCTAGAAATTAAAGCCAACCAAAGCAAAAGGGGCTTAGCTTAAAGTCCAGGAAAGGCCAAGCACAGACTTCCAATTGTCTTCTCCCAGAACAGCATCTACTTCTCTCAGAAACCACGTGTGACGACACATATGGGATATTGCCAACCGGGGCAGCCCACCCAAGCCCTGATATCCAGTATTGTAATTGGAGGCAGTCAAGTAGGTGTGGAGGGCTCAGTGGCTGACTTTAGTTATTTAGACTCCAGTCCCTTCATAACCGGACAACCCAGGGGTCCAGGCTGCCTGTCACTATTTCAGCCAATTAAGCAGAGACAGGATTGAATCATATATGAGCTTTTATTCCAATAATGCTGGCAGTATGGGAGAGCAGCCACAAAAATCTTCCCTCCACCCCACCATAAGCAAACTGCTTATATTGGGTAGAAGGACAAGATTACATGGAGAATTAGGAATTACAAGTATGGGAAAGTAGGCGTGGGGTAATCATTACAGATTACAAGTCATGCGGGCTGGAGGGGAATCACAGAGAGGGTGCACCTCCGGGCACCCTCAGCAGGACCAGATTACAGGTAATAGGGGCTGAGGGTTGTAAAGAGCAGGTGCCTCCAGGACTAGGTGCTATGACGTTGTAAGTCTTTCCATAATGATAGGCAGTTCTCAGAAGAAGGACAGACTGCATTCCCATGTTAGCTCCCGTGTCCCAGGGCATACAACTTGCAGCGAGGTTAGAATGTGTTTTCTCTAATCAAAAAAGAGCAATCATAGTTAATAGAGCATGATTAAAATTTCTTAACTTAATTTCTAATACTAT